AAGAGTATAGTCACGCATCAGACAAATGGTGAGCGTACCTTCTTCTCCGTTTCTTCTTCTTCCTCTTCAACGTCCTCTCCTGCTTCTCGTTTCTTATCCTTCAGAAATTCTAACCGTCGTTTCCGTTCTGCTTCCAGTAATCCTAAAATTTGACTAATTTCGTCTCAAAAAGCCGACAGACATACACTTACTTACCAGGTACCAACTTGTACACAATGTCCTGCATTGTTCGGTCGAATGCCACATAGTGACTGGGATGGCTTTGATGAATTAGTTGTTCACACGTCGGGCAACAGTTATCCTCTTCTTCGAAGTAGGTGAGAAGACAACTTTTGCAAAATGTGTGTAAGCAATCGATAACCGTCGTGGCATCTATTAGATAGCCCTAAATCAGAATTTCTATGACGCGCATGCAATAAAAGTAACAGATTCCAAATTCAAAAAATAAAAATTGCGAAATTTGTAAAGCATAAACACTTTCCAAAATGTCGAAGAAAGAAACGTTTACCTTACACAATCCACATGTTAAGTGAGCATTGATTTTCTTTAGCTGCAGCGAATAAGCTTCTTTCACTTCACCCCTATCTGAATCCCCGTCATCCCTTTTAGACATCTGAAAAAGTTTAATTCATCCTTACTACCGCCAAGCAGATAAAGCTCACCTTTGCTTTATTCTCGTTTCCTGATTTTCCTGCACCTTTTCGCTTCCGCCCTACATCAGGTTTCTTCTCTTCTTTTTCCTTCTCCTTCTCTCTCTTCTTAGACATAGCTCATTGAACCTATCTGATAAATCATAACGCGATTGATAAACAAAATAATTGAATCTCGCAAGCAGCTGAAGTGCAAATAAGACAAATAACCTGGTAAAGTAACCAAAAAATCTCCAAACATTCCAGTATCACAGCAATTTATCTTAAGAAAGGAACGATGACTCATACAAACACAAGAGTACGTATTGACCCGTATATGGAAACATTTGAGAGAATCATAACAACATGAACTGGCTACACCATCAAACCTAGTTCTTTCATATTACCAACAACAACAACGCTCAACCTGTCCTGGGATTCAGACTCGTTTGACCTAGGTAGGCTCCCGGAAGATATCTGAAAAGAATTGTGTTTAGTACACGATACTATTCTGAATTATGAAATTTGACACTTACCTTCCCTCCCGTTCATCTTTTTCTCGCTGCTCCTGTGCCAGATGAGCAGTATTTGAAAGGAAAGCCAGGGCTCCTTTGTGGCAACGATTGGCATAGTGACCTTTTTCTCCGCACTGTAAAGACAACGCATAAGTTGGTTCGAACAATATAAACAATCTTCATTTCATTTCGATTCTTTTAAGGAGTAAATCATATCAATCATAAGTCAGCAAGACTCGTTGACATTGAAATTTGAAAAGACACCTTCAAAAATATTAAGGTCTCATGAGAAGCAAAAAAAGTAAAAACGATATGTTGACACACTTTTGCACACAAAAAACCAACCTTGTAACAAGTAACTTCCGATAAGCTCTTTTTGTCTGGAAACAATGAGAGGTCCACCGGCTGCACGGTCCGATTTGAAGCTGGATTCGACTCGGATTGCTGTAATGAGAATGATATAAGCATCTTGCAATTATTGTGTGACACAATCTACAAAAACTTTTTACGCAAGAAGTACAAAAAAAA